ACCACGCCACCATCATCCTCAATCATAGCCGCCACCATTATCGACCATCACCACCCACTATCCCCACTACTCCGACCACCATTTCTCCCCCACGAGCAACACTCATCCACCTCAGCTACCACGACCACCCCATTACCATCAACAACCACAGCCGGCACTGCCCATAATTATAACCTACCACCACCCACCCACCACCTTCCTCAGTAACAACTACTACCACCACCCGCCATTATTAACTATCACCAACCACCACCTCCATCCTCAATCATAATCGCCACCACTATCAATCACTACTAGCTACTAGCATGAACCACCATCATCAACCAAAACTACCACCAACTACCGCCTCTAGTCGACATTCACCCGTTAGCCATCACCACCAACAACTATCATATTTTAAAAAACTATATATTTTATTGATAGAATATTAGATTAGTTATTTCATTTGAATTTTATGTTTATTAATTTTCAAATAAAGATAAATTTTATACATTCAGATGTTAAAAATCAAACAGTCTTAATTATTTCTATTCAGATCTTAATATACATCTTAATATATTCAGATTCAGACGTCTTAATCTTAAAAAAAACAAATAAGGCCTTAGTCAGATTAGAGATGTTTACATCAGCAGAAAATATAGAAAAATTTTGCGCTTTATATTATTATTTTATGTAATATTGACCTGAGATCAATTTAAATTAAAAACGTGGTCAAGTAGAATTCATATAGTCGGCCTTAAGTTATTTAAAACTGAGGTATAGTTATTGTTATATAGTATTTGTTATAGATTTAAGTTATATAAAATGTGTAATTTAACTAATTATTTTAACGGATTATTTATCTTTTTTTTTAATCAGGTCATCAATTTATGCTTATTATAAAATTTTACGTACATTTATTTTATAAATAATATAATTATGTAAATATTTTATATAATTAGTGCATAAAACTCGTTAAGTTATTTAATTTATGAAAACTTGAAATTTTAGTGATGGTATGCTAGTTTAAAAAATAGATCTTGTTGGCTAATTTAACTTATTCAATCATACTAGGTTACCGCGTGTGATCTATCTTTATTACCGAAAAGATAGTAATAATTATAATATTGAGAATAATCATGCTAAAGGCGTACTAAAAAGAAGATTACATTTTGTTTATATAGTTCCTACCAGTGCGCCCTACATGAAATACTAATAGCAAATATCCTAAGTACACGTGCTCTCCCTATTTTCATAAAATCTCTTTTCCTCCCAAATTCTCCTTTTTCTTTTGTCTCTTTTGACAAAGTCTGGTTAATAATCTGTAATCTACAAGTCATTCCACAGAAAATTTTTCTTTTTAATATATGTACTATGAATGAATTTTGACACCTAATATAGTGATCGAATTCTAAGATTTTAATATAATTCTAGTTAAACAGGTTGTGTCAAATTTACGTTTGGATTCGCGTCGCGTAAGTCTTATTAAAAAAAAAAAACGCTCCCAAAATATTTGTTATGTTTTTTCTTCTTCCTCATCTTAATTTTGGCCTTTACCCTTGGCGGGAATCTATGGGGAAACAGTCAAGTCTAGTACTAGTACGTCCATCTACATTTTTAAACTTACTATAAGATCCAATCTACTTTTTTTACCTTGTCTGGATCTAGTTTTTTGGAATAAACTAAAACCAAAGTTGACTCCATTAATCACCCAAAAATAGAAAAACCTTGCAATAACTTAGTAAAGTCACTCTCTCACGCTGTGTTTCATCCAATTAAAAATGTCGAACATGTTAGCCAGATTAAAATGGAGTCTGGTCCACGTAAATGTTAACAAGCTATGATATATCAACAGTCACAAATTTAAGGCCATGCGTAAAAGTCAGAATTAATATGATTCATGGTAATCAAAGTACCTGGTTTTAATGTGAATATGAACATAGATATTTTGATTGTTTGTTAAATGAAATTAAATTTGAAAAACATTACATAAATGATAAACGAACATTAGAACTAACTCAACTCCAAAAACTAACTTATGAGGTAAAGATTGTCGAAGTTATACTCAATTAGTGCAAATTAAATCACATCAAGTCAACTCCGTTTAATTCTGCAAAAGATCCTTCTCAGTAATGTCAATTTGATTTATGTTCACAAGCCAAATCTATGGTTCTTCACTACCTTTGCTGACCATTCATCCTCATTGTATTATATCTTGATTACATTTTTAGTTCTGAACCATAAAGGAAAATTCATAAGGAGTTAAAGAAAAATTGGTACTATCTAGTATCTACCATGAACTCAATTAACTGCCAAAGGCTGAAAAGAGCTTTGACATTCCTTGTACCATTTCTCTCTTATTTTTTCCTTTGTGAATTTACTTACTCTCTTTCTTTCGATCGGTTTATTACTGAAAAATGAAGTATTCACCGTTCAAGAATAGCCTCCAATTTCTGTTGTAATGATAACCTTAGTACTTTTCCTGGTTAAATTTTAACTTTATTATCTAATAACATACACTTTATACGTGGGTCATGTTAGAATATACTATAAGCCATGCGTATTGTTATAGTATTCTTTATAAACAATTATTTATTTACTTGTTTGCTCCTCTGCCATGGTCAGCCATAGGTTGCTCCTCTGCCATGTTCCCTGAAGTTTACGTGTCCTGCCGCGGTCCTACCGCGGTTACGCCAGGACCGCGGCCAAAGTGACCTTCAGAATCTGTAGCAGTGTTCTGCCGCGGTCCTACCGCGGTTACGCCAGGACCGCGGCCCGAGTGGCCTTCAGAATCTGCAGCAGTGTTCTGAAGGCCAATTATTTATTTACTTGTTTAAATTCCATAAAGTTTCCTTTTAAATAGATCATGTATTTGTTTGTGTGTCCATTGCTTATATAGTAGATGATTTAGTGTATAGAGTTTAGCTTATACACGGAAGATTAAATCATCAGTTCTTATAAGTCATAAAGTTTATGTTCACAATCTAATGATGGAATTGGACAAGCCATCGGAATGGTTGTAGCACAAGATTATATATAATTTATCTTGATTATGGGAATGGTCTAATTCCAACTTCTTGTGCTAGTATATTTAGTATGTATTGAACGGATCAAGTAGAGATAGGTATTTTATACTGACTTAATAAAGTAATTTCTCTAGTCCATTCAATGTACTTATACTCTTAATCTTGATAAAATTATTATAAGTTATGTATATCATTTATTGTTTTGATTTATTAAAAGGCGAGATTCTTTCGTGGGTCAATAAGCCTGGTAAGTTGGTCAACTATGATATACATTGGCGAAGTAATAATTAGTTGATAAAATCCATGACTCGGTTCTTTGAGATTGATGATACTCCATTATGAAAACTTATAAGTTTTCATGTGTAAACCCGGCCGGTGAATTTTGTATCCGACACATGAAATAAGTTAAGTGAAAGTCTAAAGGAAGTAATCAATAAATTAAATTATCAGTAATTTAATTTGATTGGTTAGTATCTGAATCTTAACATGGGGAGTTGAATAAGGTTTTATGGAAGAATTTCGAAATTGAACTAAGGAGTGCAATTATGAATTTTTAGTGGAATAATTCGTAATTTATTATGGTAGAAATTAATTTCAAATTTCGAAATTAATTCCATAATAGGAAGCCTTGTTAATTAAATTCTGTGGTCCCTACTGTGCCTGAATAATAGAAAATAAAGGAAATCTTTCCTTAGTGGAAGAAGAAAACCTAAAAGGTTTTGGAAAAATGTTTTGACCTAAAAAACGCAGCTATATATACATGGTATATAGCTGGTCGTTTTTTGACACAGAAAAAACACACGTTTTTCTTCCTTGAATTTCGCCCACCCGAAGTTCTCTGTTTTCCGATTTTTATTTGGGTAACACAGTAGAAGACTGTGGAAGGTTGCTGAGGTCTTGCAATTCTGGAACTGGAGAAGGATATCGATTTGCTTTGTTCACACTTCAAGTGGTAACTCGTATAATCTCCGTATGTGCTAATCGTTTAATTCACACGTGAATAGGATTCTGTGATTGCTTCCGCTGTGATATATATTCCAACAATTGGTATTAGATCCTACTCACGTCTAATTAAATAGTGAGCATAAACCATAAGGAATAATATCATGTTCTATATGCAAGTTTTGAATTACATACAAAGTTTGTTTTTTCTGAAAACCTGCACTGTTTTGGCGTGATTATCTGTTATGAGTTGTATTGATTATTCTGAAAACTTGAAATATCCTTTTAATATTGGTGATGTTGAGTGAGAATAATCTGAAAATGAATTTTATCATGAAAAACGTAAAAATAGTTTTGGCCGAATTGGGGCAGAAAATCGGAGGTCAACTAGTTGACGGACTCCGATTGACATGAAACTTGGCAGGTCCATGCGAAACGGCCCAGTGACAATACTCATCAGCTTTGCTCATGATGTAAGCCGCTTTTTGGGCTTTCGGAGGCGTTTAGATGGTGTTTTTGCTATTTTTTTTTAAAATTCTGAAATTTTTTTTAGTTGTTTTTTATTCCAGTAATCATGGGGATCAATTCCCATGGTCTCCGGGGTTAAAAATTAGTGATATAATATTTTTACACATTGACGTAGGTCTTCTTCCATATCCGATAAAAACATTATGAATAATCACTAGGTTATACTAGTCATTGATTACTTGTATTTACTCTCCATCTGAGTATGCATGTTGGTTCAATGGGACTAATATATGTTGAATATTGATATTCACCTGGCTTAAATTAACAGTTTACTCTCCATCTGAGTATGACCTGTTTAGGTTCATGGGGTGGATAATCTGTCATTATATATATATATATATATATATATATATATATATATATATATATATATATATACATACATTGCAATAATAGCTTCTTTCCCATCGAAATTTGTTGTTCAAGGTGCATAGATTGTATATATATACTGTGTTTTGAATTTTAATATTCAATAATACAAACTGATTTGATCTACTTAAATATTTAATGTCTCCCAGATTGACAATGACTGCTTTCAATCCCCTTACTGCCATCTTAATCAAAACAAACTTGTGGGTCCGAATTATTGTTCTACTTGCTGAAGAGTACAAATTTGTGCTCGATGAGGTGTGTCCAGAAAAACCTGGAGATGATGCCACAGATGATGAACAAAAGGATTACCAGAAATGGATTAAGGCTGATGAGATGGCGCGGTGTTACATTTTGGCATCCATGTCAAATGTTCTGCAACACCAGCATCAGTCGATGGAGTCTGCTTATGACATTCTGGAAAATCTCAAAGAAATGTTTGGAGATCAGAATCGTGCGGCTAAGCAGACTGCCATGAAAGCCCTTCTGAATACCAAAATGGTTGAAGGTTCATCGGTCAGGGACCATGTTCTGAAGATGATGAGTCTTCTGAATGAACTGGAGGTCCTTGGAGCTAACATTAATAAGGACACGCAGGTTGAAATGATCCTGCGGACTTTGCCTGACAGTTTTCAGCAGTTTCGCCTGAATTATAACATGAACAAAATGGATTTGTCCCTTGCGAAATTGCTGAATGAGCTGCAGTCGGCAGAGACTATTATCAAGTCACAAGCTCCTCGTGTGGCGTTGAATTTTGAGGCAGGTTCTTCTTCTAAGCCGAGAGGCGGGCAGAAAAAGAAAAAGGCTAAAAAACCCTCTGTTGGTGGCGCGACTGCTGGTGTGAAAAAGGCTAAGGACAAATGTTATCATTGCAAGCAGCCTGGGCATCATAAGAAGCAGTGTCCAACTTATCTGGCCAAGCTGAAAAATAAACCAGGTGATTTACATCTACTTGTCGTTGAAACATTTTTAAACGGCTGTTTCTACCATGTCATGGTGTGTAGATTCGGGAGCCACTAATCATATCTGCACTTATTTGCAGGGGTTTCAGGTAACGCAGCGGCTAAGTAGAGGAGAAATCAATGTTTATCAAGCAGACGGTTCAGCAGCCCCAGCTTTAGCATTAGGAAATATTAGTATTTCGTTTGGTAGTGGTAGAGTTTTAGCTTTAAAAGACACATTATATGTACCTTCCGTTAGAAGGAATTTAATTTCGGTTTCTAGCGCTATGAGAGATGGTTATGATTTTAATTGTCATGACATTGATAAATGTGTTATTACTCATAATAAGCGTTATCTCTCTTCGGCTACATTGATTGATGGTCTTTTTGTAGTTGACTCTATACCTAAACCGTTACACTCTAAAGAACTGAATTATATTGATTTACCAAATAAGAAAAAACGTTCTCCTGAATTGAGTGAAACATATTTATGGCACTTGCGTTTGGGTCATATAAATCTAAACAGAATTTCAAGGTTGGTCAAGGATGGACCTTTAAGTTCATTGAAAGTGGAGGCACTACCAACATGTGAATCCTGTTTAGAAGGAAAAATGACAAAACGAAATTTCCCCTCAAAGGAAATCGGGCAAGTGATAAATTAGAGTTAATTCATTCTGATTTGTGTGGTCCAATGAATGTCCAGGCAAGAGGTGGTTTTGAGTATTTTGTGACTTTCACTGATGATTACTCAAAATATGGATATGTCTATTTGTTGCGTCGTAAGTCTAAATGCTTTGAAAAATTCAAGGAATTTAAGGTTGAGACTGAAAAATGACTTAATAAACATATCAAAACATTACGATCTGATCGTGGTGGGGAATACCTCTCTGCGGAATTCATTGGTTATCTATCAGAATGTGGGATAACATCTCAATTGTCTGCACCTGGAACACCGCAACAGAATGGTGTAGCTGAAAGGAGAAATAGGACTCTTATGGAAATGGTTAGATCAATGATGAGTTATTCCAGTTTGCCAGCGTCTTTTTGGGGACATGCCTTAGAAACAGCAAATTACATTCTGAATTTAGTTCCTTCAAAGTCAGTACCTTTGACCTCTACGGAATTGTGGACTGGGCGCAAGCCTAGTTTGCGGCATATTAGAGTTTGAGGTTGTCCGGCACATGTGCTAAAAGGGAAAACGGATAAATTGGAGGCAAGAACAGATGTATGTGTGTTTGTAGGCTATCCAAAAGGAACGAAAGGTGGTTTATTTTATTGTCCTCAAGAAAAGAAGGTAATTGTTAGCACAAATGCCAAGTTTCNCTGGATAGAGTGATAAATGGCTCCAAGGCCCATGCCACTCCTTATGGGTTTATACTGACAACTGTCTTGGCCAAGTTAGATGTGCCATTGAAGAAGTGGGAGATGGCCTCCAGCAAAGAGCACTTTGGGATCAAAACTCTGCAGGCTTGTGATTATCTGCTAAGTGTAACCCCAGTTGAACCTGGTTCATCCGTGAAGACTCCTGTGAACAGCAAAGTTAGGGCATTGGTTCTAGAATGTGGAACAAAAGATGCAGAAATTGCTAGGCTCCAGGCTCGCATTGCTGAACTGGAAAGTGAAAGAAATGGCCTCAAAGATGAGCTAGCAAAGGAAAAAGAAAAGAGTGAAGGGATGCTCCAAACAATGCTTAATCTTCTTCAATCCCAACCCTCTAGTTCCTCCAAGCCCTAGAACCAGTTTAGAAACTCCTTCAGTGACCCAGGTTCGGGACTTTTCTCTGTTTTTGCTCATGGTTGGATGTTTGTTTTCTTTTTGTGGTCTGTTTTGTAGAAACATCTCCTAATCAATGACAATGTGCTTTGTTTTCTCTTGTTCTATGAAACTTCTGATATTAGTAGTTAAATTTCTGTAAAGCTGATTATTGATTAACTAAATCATGTTCTCACTTGCAGTTGCCCCAGTGGCCATGAGTAATAATTAACATCTGGGATTCTAATAAAATGCAACTTTTCGATGATGCCAAAAGGGGGAAGAGATATTGTGCCTTACTTTGTGTTCTGAAAAATGTGATGTTTATAACCTGATTAAACCTGGTCCTTAATGATAAGTTAAATTAAAGTGTGAAAATTAAGCTGAGTTCCACAGGGTCTCTGATCAATAAAAGCATAGAGTTTGTCATCATCAAAAAGGGGAAATTTGTTGGCCCAAGTTCAGATGAAGTTTTGAAGATTGACAAAATGAACTCAGTCATGAACCAGGTCCATCATGTGAGACAAAGTGTTGATATGCTTACACATGTGACATACGCGTGAAGAAGATAAGTCTCAAGGATCAGCAACAATATCTTCTGAATTGATCGAAAAGATTGCATATAGGATAAGGAGTTGAAGTCTCCTTATGAAAAGAGAATTATATCCGGATCAAGGATATGGATTAGGAGTTAGAGTTGTTCTTGGACTCGAATTGTCAAAGGATCCATAATTCGAGTTCTTATCAAACTCTGATTACTAACTCTATAAAAATAACGATTGTTCTCTTTTACAGGTTGTTGCACATAAGCAGAAGTTAAGCATATTTGAGAGCAAAAAGATCAAGTCTGATTTGCGAGCAATATATGCGAGATACAAGTGTGCACGTCTGAAGCTACATGAACTAAGATAGAAGAACCAGTTTCATCATTGTGTTTATCCTAAGTCTAGTTCAATTGTAGTAGGTTTTCATATTGTACCTTTCAGCTTTCATAGAAGCAATTGTAATAGGTATATTGAGTATTCAAGTTAGAGTTAACTTGAAAGTGTCGCAACAGTTGAGGCTGTGTGCTACACTAGGATTAGAGTTAATCCTTAGGTTTACAAAGAGTTTTGTAAATGCAGTTTTTGGCTCAGTGATTTTAGTGGAGTTTGGGAAAATCCTACTGAGTAGTAGGTCGTGGTTTTTTCACCTTTTGAGCCAGGTGTTTTCCACGTAAAAATCTCTGTGCACTTTACTTTCAGCATTTATTATTCCGCAAACTGCTGTAGTTAGAACACTTAGAAGAACCAGGCTCTTCGAACGCGAAAATTAGGTACCACACAAATCACCCCCCCTCTTGTGTGGTATTGACGTTTATAACATCACATAGGTTGCTCCTCTGCCATGTTCCCTGAAGTTTACGCGTCCTGCCGCGGTCCTACCGCGGTTACGCCAGGACCGCGGCCAAAGTGGCCTTCAGAATCTGCAGTAGTGTTCTGCCGCGGTCCTACCGCGGTTACGCCAGGACCGCGGCCAGAGTGGCCTTCAGAATCTGCAGCAGTGTTCTGAAGGCCAATTATTTATTTACTTGTTTAAATTCCATAAAGTTTCCTTTTAAATAGATCATGTATTTGTTTGTGTGTCCATTGCTTATATAGTAAATGATTTAGTGTATAGAGTTTAGCTTATACACGGAAGATTAAATCATCAGTTCTTATAAGTCATAAAGTTTATGTTCACAATCTAATGATGGAATTGGACAAGCCATCGGAATGGTTGTAGCATAAGATTAGATATAATTTATCTTGATTATGGGAATGGTCTAATTTCAACTTCTTGTGCTAGTACATTTAGTATGTATTGAACGGATCAAGTAGAGATAGGTATTTTATACTGACTTAATAAAGTAATTTCTCTAGTCCATTCAATGTACTTATACTCTTAATCTTGATATAATTATTTATATCATTTATTGTTTTGATTTATTAAAAGGCGAGATTCTTTCGTGGGTCAATAAGCCTGGTAAGTTGGTCAACAATGATATACATTGGCGAAGTAATAATTAGTTGATAGAATCCATGTCTCGGTTCTTTGAGATTGCTGATGCCCCATTATGAAAACTTATAAGTTTTCATGTGTAAACCTGGCCGGTGGATTTTGTATCCGACACATGAAATAAGTTAAGTGAAAGTCTAAAGGAAGTAATCAATAAATTAAATTTTCAGTAATTTAATTTGATTGGTTAGTATCTGAATCTTAACATAGGGAGTTAAATAAGGTTTTATGGAAGAATTTTGAAATTGAACTAAGGAGTGCAATTATGAATTTTCAGTGGAATAATTCGTAATTTATTATGGTAGAAATTAATTTCAAATTTCGAAATTAATTCCATAATAGGAAGCCTTGTTAATTAAATTCTGTGGTCCCTACTGTGCCTGAATAATAGGAAATAAAGGAAACCTTTCCTTAGTGGAAGAAGAAAACCTAACAAGTTTTGGAAAAGTATTTTGACCTAAAAAACGCAGCTATATATACATGGTATATACCTGGTCGTTTTTTGACACAGAAAAAACACACGTTTTTCTTCCTTGAATTTCGCCCACCCGAAGTTCTCTGTTTTCCGGTTTTTATTTGGGTAACACAGTAGAAGACCGTGGAAGGTTGCTGAGGTCTTGCAATTCTGGAACTGGAGAAGGATATCGATTTGCTTTGTCACGCTTCAAGAGGTAACTCGTATAATCTCTGTATGTGCTAATCGTTTAATTCACACGTGAATAGGATTCTGTGATTGCTTCCGCTGTGATATATATTCCAACAGGTCAATCTAAGTTAAAGGCAATGGAGCATCCATTACTTTAAAAACCTTGATCCACCACTGACCACAAGTTTCAAAAAAAAAATTCCCCCTTAAATTCTGCGTCGAATCAAACTATCTTATCTAAACTGAAACGAAAGAAGTATTTATTTTAAAAAAATATGCTTTTCGATAAAGTACTTATCGAAAATACTATAGTAAATGGTTCTAAAACTAGCCATTGACTAAATAGTACACCATAAGTGTTATGTGCCGAGAATGCGGGTGGAGAATGGTGACCATAGATATTCGGTCTAGTTCTTTTTTCTTATTGTACCTCCAATGTCACTCACGTGACACTTCTTATCTGTCATCTAATAATGAT